CCTGAAACCTCCCAAAGCCCTGGGACATCCTGGGTCCCCCCAAAGCCCCCCGAGCCCCAGGGGTGTCCTGGGCCCACCCAAAGCCCCCCAAGCCCCCTGGGTCCCCCCGAAGCCCCCCAGTCCCCCCATTCCCACCTGCTGGCTGAGGTTGTGCTGCTCGGCGCAGGCGTCCAGGGCGCAGGCACTGCCCACCCGGGCCAGCTCCTCCAGGAACTTGTGGCACTGCCCCACAGCCACAGCCTGCAACTGGGGGTACTGGGGGAACAGGGACCCTCAGAACCCCCCAGAGCCTGCAACTGGGGGTACTGGGGGGAAAGGGACCCCTTAGAGTCTGCAACTGGGGGTACTGGGGGAACAGGGACCCTCAGAACCCCCCAGAATCTGCAACTGGGGGTACTGGGGGAACAGGGACCCTTCAGAACCCCCCCCAAGTCTGCAACTGGGGGTACTGGGGGGAAATAGGGACCCCCAGAGACATCAACTGGGGATAATGGGGGAACAGGGACTCCTCAGAGTCTGTAACTGGGGATACTGGGGGAACAGGAACCCCTTAGAGCCTGTAACTGGGGGTACTGGGGGGAACAGGGACACCTTAGAGTCTGCAACTGGGGGTACTGGGGGAACAGGGACCCTCAGAACCCCCCAGAGCCTGCAACTGGGGGTACTGGGGGAACAGGGACCCCTTAGAGCCTGCAACTGGGGATACTGGGGGAACAGGGACCCCTTAGAGCCTGCAACTGGGGATACTGGGGCAAGAGAGACCCCCCTTGAGACCCACCGCCTGCAACTGGGGGTACTGGGGGAACAGGGACCCCTTAGAGTCTGCAACTGGGGGTACTGGGGGGAACAGGGACCCACCTCCTCAGGGCACAGGGGGTGACCCTGCCCCGTGCCAGGGGACACAAATCCCGGGTTGGGGGGACACAAATCCCCGACTGGGGACACAAATCCCAGTTTGGGGACACAAATCCCGGGTTGGGGACACAAATCCCAGGTTGGGGATCCCCCTGGATGCCCCCCCCGGGGGGGTCGTGCCCTCCTTGGGGCACAGGGGGTGACCCTGCCCTGTGCCAGGGGACACAAATCCCGGGTTGGGGGACATAAATCCCGGGTTGGGGACACAAATCCCGGGTTGGGGACACAAATCCCATTTTGGGGACACAAATCCCAGACTGGGGGGACACAAATCCCAGTTTGGGGACACAAATCCGGGGTTGGGGACAAAAATCCCGGGCTGGGGACACAAATCCCGGTTTGGGGACACAAATCCGGGGTTGGGGACACAAATCCTGGGTTGGGGACACAAATCCTGGGTTGGGGGGACACAAATCCCAGTTTGGGGACACAAATCCGGGGTTGGGGACACAAATCCTGGGTTGGGGACACAAATCCCAGACTGGGGACCCAAATCCCGGGTTGGGACCCCCCCGGACCCACCTCCTCGGGGCACAGGGGGTGTGGGCAGCGCGAGAAGTGGGCGCAGAGCAGGGGGAAGGCGATGGCGAAGCGCAGCAGGGGCGGCTCCTCCAGGGCCAGCGAGAACATCCGCTCCAGGGGACGGGGGTAGAAACTGCGGGGGGACACGGGACAGTGGGAAAAGGGGGAAAAGGGCAGGGGAGGGGTAAGAAAAGGGATAGGAAAAGGGGTAGGGGGTGGGAAAGGGGGGGAAAAGGACAGGGGAGGGGTAAGAAAAGGGATAGGAAAAGGGGTAGGGGGTGGGA